GGTCAGTTGGGATGCTGAGGCGGCCATGCTTTGCTGGGTTGTGTGTGTCATTCAGTAAGGTGGCAGTAAGCCAGGAGCCAGGGAGTGAAATGCAACTTTAGTTGCAAACCTATTGGTAAAAAGGAAAGGGACCCCTGACCATTAGGTCTAGTTGTGACCGACTCTGGGGTTGCGACGCTCATCTCGCTTTATTGGCCGAGGGAGTCGGCGTACAGCTTCCGGGTCATGTGGCCAGCATGACTAAGCCACTTCTGGCGAACCAGAGCAGCGCATGGAAACACTGTTTACCTTCCCGTCGGACCGGTACCTATTTATCTACTTGCACTTTGACATGCTTTCAAACTGCTAGGTTGGCAGGAGCAGGGACCGAGGAACGGGAGCTCACCCATCACGGGGATTCGAACTGCCGACCTTCTGATCAGCAAGTCCTAGGTGCTGTGGTTTAACCCACAGCGCCACCCGCATCCCACCTATTGGAGCAGGGACCAAATTCGAGGAGGCCAGCGGACGGCAGAGATATTATATATCTTATATAGCAAGATTATAGGAACCTTTATTAGTGAACAGTTTACATAAATCTCGCGATATATTTATTAGATAGAGAGTGATTTTATTCATTATGAGTATCTGTAGGTTGTGCGAGCCTGATTTTGCAGGGCCTTTTCAAAGTGTAGTCCTAATATTTTGTCTCTTTCTTCCTTAGATCTAAGTGTAATCAGGCAGTCTCTCGGGGTCTTTCTGTCCTGCTTTTTGCCCAGTCTAAAGGCTGTTGTAATTTTAAATTCGTCTTCCTCCAGATCCCAGCAATCCGCAAACTCCTGTGTTAAAAACTCCGCAAGGTTGTCACTTTCGTTCTCTGGAATCAATCTCAATTTCAAATTTCTCTCTTTTCTCTGTAATTCCCACAGAGCCAAAGTTGCATCGTGCTCATGGACCTTCTTGGCAATCGGTTCTAAATTCTCCTGTGTCTCTCCAGCAATAGCTCTCGCTTCTTCAGCAATTTTACGTGTAGTGGAATTTTCCTCAACCAGTTTGTTTATAGATTCTGTATTCTGGTCTAGTCTTGCTGATATTTCTGTTAATTTTTGTGTATTTTCTGAAGTCTGTTTTGTCAGAGACTCCAGGGATTGATTTACCTTAAGCAGGGCTTCTGTCACGGCTTCCATAGAGACAGCTGTCACTTTTTCTTGTCCTGTTGTTCCTGCAAGTCCGGCAGTTACACCTGTGATTGAGCCTCTTTTCTTTGGTTGTTGTTGTTGCTGCAGCTGGTGCTGTTGTTGTTGTTTGGTCTTGGCTCTTGTGACTATCTCTTCTTGTGAGCCACTCATGTCAAGGTCGTTTCCCACGGGAGCTGTTCCCCACTGGAAAATTCCACTGTCTTAGGCAGTGCCAACCTTTACCTTACCCTCTAGGGGGAGCAAATCAAAATGGCCAAATATAAAATGTCCAAATACAAAGGCAAAGAGAATATCCAAGTACGTAGGAAAGGGAGAAAGAGAAAAAATAAAGCAAGTATAGCTGGAGGCTTGTAGCTGCAAATTGCCACAATTTCCCAGTAGATACTGTCTCAGCTTACTCTGATGTACTGTATCCAGGCAATGCAGAAACTTTGTATCACAGTGTAACTTTCACAGGGAAAGTCAGTTCAGTGTCCTATTCCCTAAAAGGCAGACCGTTTCATGCTCTTAACCAGCTGAGGCAGCAGAGGATTTTTCTTTTAAATAAATTATGCAGTTGCCAAAGTCTCTCTTGCCTCCCCTCTGCCCTGCTAGCTAGAGGGGAGATCTAAAGTCCAAATGTCAGGTTTGATTAAATACAAGCAAAGTCTTTAACGGATGCAGCTTTACAGTTCCGTTGCTTTCACTTTCATGCAGTCGGGGGGAGGCAGACTTCCTTGATTTTGACCTCCCCGCTTTCAACCAAATCTCCAAATTTTAGTTCCAAATAGAAGTTCCGTTTTACTCACGGGTTTTTTCTGTCCGTAATTTACAGGAAGGAATCGGCGCTCTCCACTAATAGCGACGCGGCTTCACCCTGCGGGCTGGGTAGCGATTCTCAGCACCGCGCTCCCCCGATGTCGTTCCAGAGCCTTTAAAAAGGCTCTTTCTGCGGTAAAGGGGGGGCGCTTTTGGTGCCCACCGAATCTCCTCGTTCACAGGCTTCCGCGCCTGTGATTTTAGGGGTCCCCCGCTTGCCGTAGCGGGACAGACCCGAACTCGCAGGGCAGTCCTTCTCCGGAGCTCGGAAAAAGGACCGCCATTAGCGCTGGCGCCGACCGGAAGTTCCCAAAACAACCTTTCCTAACTCATCATCTCAAGTAACCCTGGGAGGTAGATCAGTGATGCTTTCAGTTTATGAATTGGAAACTGAGGCAGACAGCTGCAGCGAGTTGTCATGAGATTTGGAGAAGCCTACCCATCCAATAGGCCTTTGGCCAGGGCACAGCCTGACTCCCTCCCTCAGCAATCTTCGCGGAGCTCTGGCCCAATGGTTGCCAGTGGCTTGATTTGAATTAATTTTATAATGAATGATTTTAGAGTGTTGTTTGTGCTGTACTTTTCTACTGTTTTATTGTTGTTAGCCGCCCTGAGCCCGGTTTCGGCTGGGGAGGGTGGGATATAAATAAAATGTTTTTATTATTTTTATTATTATTTTTATTATTATTATTATTATTATTATTATTATTATTATTATTATTATTATTTAACCTTTGAGTCACACAAGTCCGCTTACTCACTCTTAGGGGTGTGGCAGCTTTGTGGAACAGCCAGTGCCTCTCCTCCTGCCAACGATGCAGGGCTGGGTGTCAGGATCTGATCCTTGCTGGACCGCGAGCTTCAAATCCTGCTCTGTGTCAGCCTGCCAAACTGGCCAATGGCAGGCTGGTGTGGAGGGCTGGGCTCTCTGGGGGCAGGCTGGAGGGAACAATCAGGCTTCCCTCAGGTCCACTCCTGGGGGATTTAAAACAGCCCGCACCAGCCCCTGATGCCCAGCTCTTCTTCATTGGATCAAACCAACTCCAGTAATTTTGCATTTACTCATTGAATTGACCTTGCTATGGCTGTGGTAGTTACCGCATGTATGGGGCCGGCTAGGAATTTGCCTACCAGGTGAATTGGCTGTGACCTGAAGGTTTTGCCTACCTCGTAGCAATCGCCACAACTTTTAGAGGTTTAGGCATTGAGTAGGGACACTGGTGGGGACGCGGGTGGCGCTGTGGGTAAAAGCCTCAGCGCCTAGGGCTTGCCGATCGAAAGGTCGGCGGTTCGAATCCCCGCGACGGGGTGCGCTCCCATTGCTCGGTCCCAGCGCCTGCCAACCTAGCAGTTCGAAAGCACCCCCGGGTGCAAGTAGATAAATAGGGACTGCTTTCTAGCGGGAAGGTAAACAGCGTTTCTGTGTGCGGCTCTGGCTCGCCAGAGCAGCAATGTCACGCTGGCCACGTGACCCGGAAGTGTCTCCGGACAGCGCTGGCCCCCGGCCTCTTGAGTGAGATGGGCGCACAACCCCAGAGTCTGGCAAGACTGGCCCGTACGGGCAGGGGTACCTTTACCTTTACCTTTTAGGGACACTGGTGGCACTGTGGGTTAAACCACAGAGCCTAGGACTTGCCGATCAGAAGGTCAGTGGTTCGAATCCCCGCAACGGGGTGAGCTCCTGTTGCTCGGTCCCTGCTCCTGCCAACCTAGCAGTTCAAAAGCACATCAAAGTGCAAGTAGATAAATAGGTACCGCTCCGGCGGGAAGATAAACGGTGTTTCTGTGCGCTGCTCTGGTTCGCCAGAAGCAGCTTAGTCATGCTGGCCACATGACCCGGAAGCTGTACGCCGGCTCCCTCGGCCAATAAAGCGAGATGAGTGCCGCAACCCCAGAGTCGGCCACGACTGGACCTAATGGTCAGGGGTCCCTTTACCTTTACCTTTAACCTTAGCCTGTGTTGGAAGGGGCGAGGTTGTACCCTCGCCTTCCCCTCCAGAAATAGAGTGTCCTGTTAAAGGGATCTGTGATGGAGTTGCTTCTGTCCATTTGCCCAGACAAGGGGCTTGGGCCTCAACGGTCCTGGAGGCGGTGATCCCTGAGGGGATTCCCCTATTTGATATAAGTTGTAGGAATCCCCACTGCCGGGGTTGACCCTGATGTCATTTCCGGTAGTTAGCCTGGAAATGCTTACCCAATGCCTATGCCAAACCACTTCATCTGAAGTCAATAAAGTTGTGGCCTGATTCAATCCCATTCAACTGTGTGGTCTCCTTCATTGGTAGCTCACCTGAGTGGAGAGGACATGGCCTGGCCCTGCAAGTATCATTTCAGAATATTTTTATCTCATGCTGTACCAGGCTGAGCTCATAGATGGGGAACCTGTGACCCTCTAGAAGTTGTTGGACTGCAACTCCCATCATCCTTGACTGGAGGATGGTGGCTGAGGTTGATGGGAGTTGCAGTCCAACAATATCTGGAATGGCAAAGGTCCTCATTTCTGCATTATATCATTAAAGGTAAAGGTACCCCTGCCCGTACGGGCCAGTCTTGCCAGACTCTAGGGTTGTGTGCTCATCTCACTCTATAGGCCGGGAGCCAGCGCTGTCCGCAGACACTTCTGGGTCACGTGGCCAGCGTGACAAGCTGCATCTGGCGAGCCAGCGCAGCACACGGAACGCCGTTTACCTTCCCGCTGGTAAGCGGTCCCTATTTATCTACTTGCACCCGAAGGTGCTTTCGAACTGCTAGGTTGGCAGGCGCTGGGACCGAGCAGCAGGAGCGCACCCCGCTGCGGGGATTCGAACCGCCGACCTTTCGATCGGCAAGTCCTAGGCGCTGAGGCTTTAACCCACAGCGCCACCTGCGTCCCTATTATATCATTATGGAAGTTCTAATGTTCTTGGTCTCAACTTCATAGTCAGAAGGTACTCAAACAACAGACACCATGCGATGGATTTTAAGTGGCTCCCAGTGCTTCCAGTCCACTCTTTGTCTCAGGCCTTTGTCTTATTCCTGGGGTGCCTAGACACCCAAGTCAATATTTACCTGCAGAAAGTAGGTTATGCTCCCCCCTGAACCGGTGTCTCTGTCTATGGCTTCAATTTTCAAGATGCTGCTTCCTGAAGGGGTGTTCTGTGAATCCAAACAGAGAACATAATCAGAGATGGGCATGATATAAGAAATGAGGGTGTATTAGTTAAATATAAATATACTCCTATGATGGGAAGGTAATGTGTTAGGAAAGCAAAAAGAGAGAGTGAGAACAATGAGATATTGCATTGGGAAGAAGGGGAAAGAGAATCAAGTTCATTCCTTCCCCATCCATCCCAAAATCACAGCAGCAACAAGGAGAGACACAGAGCAATGAAGAATATGTCCATGTCAGCTGTTTTTACTCTTCACTGAGCACTGAAGTGTACAGTCTGAAGCTTGGGGAAAGTCTCCGGAAAGGCAGGGTAAAAACCGACATAACATTTGACAGATGAAACCTCTATAGAGCAGTGGGAATAGTTTTAGATACGCTCTCAAAATGATCAATACAAACTTACTTTTTTGAGCTCTTATAAAATGATTTGGGCAGTTTCCTGGGGAAGCTGATTGTGGGCAGCTGTAGCTGATTGGCTAGTGCCCAGGAAATCACCAAATGCTGCCTCCCAGTCCCCAAGGCAGTTTGTAGTAGTTGTTAATTACTTTTAACCTGACTTTAAAAACGAAATAAAATAATAACGGCACCTTTTCTTTCAAGACAAGGGATAACAACATATTATCATCAAATTGCAAAGCTCATCAGAAACCTTCATTTGAAGTGGAATTGCGTATGTCAACACTGCTTGACTCTTACCACAAAAGCAGCCAGTGCACAACTTACAGCCATGCTCATCATGGGGTAGCCGAACCCAATTTCCTCTCTAGTCACATTTGCTAAAAAGACCGAGTTAAGTTTCACCAACCTCCAGGACTTGGGCTATGTATGGTGTGTTGGTAAATTCTGGGCTCTCGTCATTGGCATCTGTTACAAGGATCCTGACTTTCTCAGCCACCTAAAGTTGAACATGATGCAATTTTAGACAGGAAAGTGGATTTATACCAAGGAGTGATCATATGCATACTTGGCTGCATCTTAGCCTTAATGACAACCATTTTAAGAACTACTAGGTTCAGAGCAAGAGTTCCTCAAGGGTGGCAGGTTTGATCCCCGTATGGGACAGTTGCATATTCCTGCACTGCAGGGGGTTGGATTAGGCCAGTGGTCCCCAACCTTTTTTTGGCCATGCCCCACCTAAGCATCTCTAAAACCCTGATGCCCACCCCCGCTGTGATGTATAATTCTTATTATTCAAAAAATGAACTCCTGTTCATTAAAAGGCCTAAAAGGCCATTAACTTGGTCTAAACAAGCTTCCAAAGAACATGGCATCCATGAAAGAGAAAAATAAAAGAAAGAAAGGACAGTTGAAGTACAGTGGCACCTCAGGTTACATACGCTTCAGGTTACAGACTCCGCTAACCCAGAAATAGTACCTTGGGTTAAGAACTTTGCTTCAGGATGAGAACAGAAATCGTGCTCTGGCAGCACGGCGGCAGCAGGAGGCCCCATTAGCTAAAGTGGTGCTTCAGGTTAAGAACAGTTTCAGGTTAAGTACGGACCTCCGGAACGAATTAAGTACTTAACCCGAGGTACCACTGTACTGAGGAAGAAATCACTAAGAAATTTTTAAAATGTGTGTGTTGCAATATATATTTATATAGTAGTAGTAGTAGTAGAAGAAGAAGAAGAAGAAGAAGAAGAAGAAGAAGAAGAAGAAGAAGAAGAAGAGGAGGAGTTTGGATTTGATATCCCACTTTATCACAACCCGAAAGAGTCTCAAAGCGGCTAACATTCTCCTTTCCCTTCCTCCCCCACAACAAACACTCTGTGAGGTGAGTGGGGCTGAGAGACTTCAGAGAAGTATGACTAGCCCAAGGTCACCCAGCAGCTGCATGTGGAGGAGCGGAGACGTGAACCCGGTTCCCCAGATTACAAATCCATCACTCTTAACCACTACACCACACTGGCTCCCTGTATACGAGGCCCCTAGAACCATAGGAAATGCAAAAAGGTCACTGTTAATAACTCATTCTCAAATTGCCTCCCTGAAAAATCAAATTGCCCCCCTGTGGGGCGTGTGCCCCACGATGGGAACCATGGGACTAGACGATCCTCGAGGTCCCTTGCAACTCTACAATTTTACGATTCTTCGATTCTATCCGTTTCATTGAGGGACCTACGCTTCTAGCGTTTGAGGGGGGAAATGCACCTCTATCCTCTTTCTTCCAACAATTCACAGGCTAAGGTTCAAAGCCCCACATGTGGGAGGGCTTCCCTCCAATGTGAGGAAGTTAAACATTCACCCACTTCCCCATGCAGTGCAGATGAACATTGTGCCTTTTTTTGTTCACAAGATGCTATTCCCACTAAGAAAATCTTAATATGGAAATAATGTGTTTATCTGTGTCTACTCGTGAGTCAGATGCACATGTGCCAAGCCACTCTTGGAGTCTTGGTCATGCCCATGTCTGAGTGAGTGATTGAGTTACAAGGATCTGGTTGAGACAGATATGGAGGGTGGCTAAGAGCCAGGGGACTGCCCCAATATACTGTATCTTTTGCTCTATAATACTCACTTTTTCCCTCCTAAAAAGTAAGGGGAAATGTGTGCGTCTTGTGGAGCAAATGCAGGCTGCACAGCTATCCCAGAAGCCAGAACAGCAAAAACTAGGTGCGTCTTATGGTCTGGTGCGTCTTAAAGAGCGAAAAATACGGGAATGCATTTTTTTTTTAAAAAAAATGTTTCTTTGGTTTTCAGATCAAAGTTTTACAGTCACATATCCAATATACAACATAAAAACAAGATTCCGAAGAATCTCCTGGACTTCCTTCCTCCCCTTTCTGTGTCGTATTGTTAATCATTTCCTCCTGCATCTTTTATGATAATCCAAATCTTTTACATCTCAGTTATGTCCAAAATTCACCATTAAACTACAAGTGTTATTCCAGTCCTACTAATGGTGGGTGGGTTATAATTTATCTTAAAAACCATTGTAAACACTTAAAGCCCCTGATATAATATATATCAGAGAAACCAAAAAACCTAGGGGTGATTCCTCACATCCCACAATCTATCCCTTGGAAATATCCAAGCGGTTGATTTTGCAGTTAGGAGAATGGCAGCTGTTTCCTTTCCCATTATCTGATACAGAATAGAGCATGAATAGGCAACAGTGAGGAAAACCCTTTTCTCTTGAAATACTTACCATACTTAAGCCATCTGAGATGCTGACGACAACTTCAACCTCATCTTCCCTCTTAAAATAGAAAATAGAAGAGTTGTTGTCCACAGGGTTGATGGGATCTAAGGCTCATACTTTTAGAAGTGTAAAAATACAACATTTATCAAATATTTGCTTGCTTTCTACGTAGTATCGTTTTAGCTGGCTAAATAAGTAACACATAACTCTGTCTGAAGAACGGAGTTAGGAGACCATTAACAGCAGAAACCTAGGGATGTCTGCTTAAATGTATGATCTATTGAGTTCAATGGGGCTTACTCCCAAGTAAGTGTGGGCAAGTTCATGTGCACACTTATTGTGGAGTAAGCCCAACTGAATTCAGGAATTAATTCTGAGTAAATATCCACATTGACTATAATTGTTTGTAGAGTAACCTTTTGAATATATGGAGTTTGTCTTCAATTTGTGGACTTCTTGGAAACATCCCTTTGGTGGACATAATTATGGTTACTAACATTTTATTTTAGCATGTTTATTTATGTGAAACATTATACCGCAACTATTCTTTACAAATATTAGGAAGTTTGCAATAAACTCAAATCACCCAAATTTTAAATTCCATGTATTAAAAGCTGAAAATGAGGCTTAAAAATTATTGTTATTTCTGCCATTTGCTTCATACTGATTATATTCATTTTGTCCCCCAAATTAATCATAACCAGTTGTCCTACAACTGATAGATATGGCCCTAAATTTTCACTGGAGGCAATAAACCTGTGTCTGGACTGAACCATTTTAGACCACAGGTAGACGATCATATGGTTGAATATTCCTCCCTAAAAGAAAACAAAATCTTTGCACAGAGTAAAGAGCATGTCAGGGAGATGGGCTTAAACTTAAACTCCTCCCTAGTTTCCTTTGTGTGATTTTTTTTTTTATAAAGATGAATTTGATTATGTGAATGCCCCCCCCATGACATTTTAAGTGAACAGCCCAGGTAGGGGGTTATCAGCTCAGTGGGAACTAAGCTACAAACAGCTGACACAAACAACCATCTTAAATTGATGGTGACACCACAAATAGATTGCGCTTTATTGCACTGTACCTCACGGTCCAGCTCTTCAATCAGTGTAACATTTCCATAGTTTTCATCAATAGCAAAGTACTTTCTTGACCCAGATTCAAAGGTCATGCCATAGGTTACCGGATCCCCTTCGGGATCTGTCCCATTTAATGTGTACACGTGTGTACCTGAAAGAGAGAGATTAGGACACCTTGTAGAAAAATTTGCTTTTGGAGGGTATTGTGAAGAGCTACTGCAATGTTGTTATACAGTGGAACCTCGGTTGTCGAACGTAATCTGATCCGGAAGACCGTTCGACTTCCAAAACTTTTGACAACCGAGGCGCAATTGCTGGTTGGTAAAATCCATTGTAAAAATGGAGGAATGCTCCTTGGAAGCCATTCAACTTCTGAGGCGCGTTCGAAAATGGAAGCATTCACTTCCGGGTTGTCGGTGTTCAAAAGCCGAAACATTCGACTTCCGTAGCGTTCAACAACTGAAGTTCCACTGGAGTAACATTTGTGTGTGTGAAAAAAATTGAAGTACATGGCTGACTTTAAGAAAAAACCTAGGTCATTCTTTTTCTCACTTGAGATTGAAACTAGTTTGGAGGGAAATGCATCAAAACACAGTATTTCATAAGCAGTGAGAGGCAGTGTCATAGCTTGGGGCGGTTGCCCTGAGTGCAAAATTGTCAGGGGTGCAAAATTTCGATACTTTACCTTTGGCCTGTTAAAGGAGTTCTCGTGTTTTTGTTTTGTTTTGTTGTTTTGCAAGCAAACAAGCACCAAAAGCCCTGCTCTTCCGTGCCTCCCTCCCCCAAGCTGATATCAGCTAATGTTTCACTGGTTGTGCGAATGCCAGGATGTTAATAGGATGTTAAAATGGGAAGCTTTTACGGCTTCTCCTTCAGATCAGGCTTGGTGTCTGGCTGATAATTTTTACACCTTTCTCAACACAAGCTCTCCATATCATTAGCACCCGGGGAACACTTCTCAGTGTAGAATTAACACCAATTTAAAAAAAATCTATATTTGGCATTTCTGCCTCCTCTTGCTGAAAAGAAAAGTGAATTTAAAATTAGTCTTATCTTTGTGGGCGCCAGCAAATGGAAACAGAAGCAAACACAGCAGTCTTCATCCCTTGGGGAAGGGGGAAACAAAAGCCTTTTCCTAGGTCCATTGTGATTTGTGAGCTGAAACTGAATCTTGGCATTAACCTACCTACCTAGTCAATATATCAGGGGTACCGTGAGGAGCAGTAAAACCAGTGCTATTTTTCTAGAAAAAGTGGTGCTGGAACTCGCCATTATCACCTCCCTGGTTCTCTTAGAATGGCAATGGCAACCACCTGAGAGGAACTGAATTCTGGTGAGTTCCGGCTGAAAAAAAAGCCTTGAATAAAACTCTGGAGGAAATGCCCAAGAAAAAGGTAAAACTCTGGACAGGTGAGAAGTGAAAATAGGAAGTACAGTAGGAATGGGAAAGTTAAAAAAGGTAAACAGGTAAAGGACCCCTGGACAGTTGAGTCCAGTCAAAGGCGGTTATGGGGTTGCGGTGCTCATCTGGCTGGGTTTCCCCAGCCACTCTAGACATAGTTTGGAGTAGGTCCAAGTAATGCCCACAAAAAGTATGGGGTAAAGTGGGAGGGGAATTTGGGGGTGCAAAATGTCTACAAGACCCCCAGTGTAGCTTTTTCATTTCTTCTGTGGCACTTCAAAACCAGGGTGATCCACTTCTCTGCTCCCTCCTCCATCATTTTGTTTTCTCTCTCTCGCCACATGATCCTGACCAATCGAGAATCGCGTAGTGAGCAAGAGGATTTCGCACGTAGCCAATCAGAATTGGCCACCTACCGTTATTACTGGGAGCGAGCGTTGCGCTCACGTTGGTGGGAGGAGGGATGGATAATCCTCGTGTTGTCCTGACAGACCAGATGACTCTTCCTAGCTTCTTACCCTTTGCCGGAATGGGTTGTGGAATGGGGTAGGAAGAAAAGGAATTTGCCCGGATGTCTGGAAAGTGCAGAGATGTGCACAAGAAAGGAACATTTTGGAGGGCGGGCAGGTGGAAAGAGGCTTAGATGGTGGCATTCAACTGCTAAGGTGTGTTCAAGCCTGGGAAGGGAACGCTGGTAATGGGTGCCAGCCATGGTTTTGGTGAAGGAATTTGGATAGGCAAAACATGGAAGGCTGGCATGTTTGGACTGATTTATAAGAGAATGATTAAAAGAAATTAAACTCTGGTCCCCTAACTGGCAAATTTCTGGTTAAAGAAAGTCAGGCATCTGCTGCAAGTGGAGTTTTGCGTTTGACCCATGTGAGTGTAATGTTCCTGCCCTATAACAAATCCCTTGTGCGTTAATTGTGTGAAAAATACCAGATAGATAACTCATTCCAGCAAGGAAGTTCTAGAAACGAGCTTAAGTGTGCAGGGCCAATGGAAATGGAAATCCATGCTTACTAACACTTGCATCGCAATGCTCACCCAGGCCCCATTGAATTGGCTGAGTGCCGCCATTCGTTGTACAAAATTACAGCCAAAATAGCTTACACATGTTTGAAGGCACATGAATGCTACTTACACAATTGACCCATTTAACTCATTTCATTTATAGATAAGTGCATCGAATTTAAAGACAAGAAGAGTTTTTAAGTAGACACAACCTGCACAAATACGACTGAGTCTCTTTTCTTAGTTCTTAACAAATGAAAAAGAAACCAGCAAAATTAATATTGCTATTTTAAGAAAGGAGTGGGCTATATCGTAAGACTGACCGACAGCTGTGTCTTCCGAAAGGCTGAGAAGTGCCATGTTCCCGTTAGTGCTGCTAGCTCCATTGTCAAAGAAATAGGGAGCGTAATTCGCCTGAGCTGCAGGTCGGAAAGAAAACAGAACCCAAAACAAAAGCATTCTTAATCACAAACAGATGAATTTCCTACCCCACCTGCCTCTGAGTACAAAGCAAAGATCAACCCTCAAGGGAAATAATCTGAGTTCACAATATATCCAATTATGCTAATAGATCACATCTACATTTTAGAAAGTTTATGGCCGTATTTAAGGGATCCTGTACTATCTGGTTAATAATACAAATGGCTATGAATCAGTTAACATATTACAGATGTACCCATATATATAACACACAGAAAACAAATTAATCAGGATCCCACCAGACAGTCTGAAGTTTTCTGCTTGTTGAATGAGCCTTCATTAAATGCTCACTAACTGCAAAACGAGCATCTTTGACCTCCAGGCATTCCCTAAGCAATCTATTGGAGATTCTAAAACATTTTGATTTTCAGGGATGCCTATCAAGAAGCCATAATGAAATAATTACTTACTTGCTGCAAGAGAACAGCAAAGTTCAAAGAAAAAAAAAGTAAAAATGAAATGAAATTAGTTATCATTCTAATCACAGATCAAGAATCAATAACAGCCCACTTGGAGCTACAGGTAATACAATCAATGGGGGGGGGATAAGGAGGAGGGGGGACAGCCAGAAAGCAGTATTTATTTACACAGTTATCAAGAAACAGTTGCAAGGCCACATTATGAAGGATTACTAACAAAGCTTAGGCGTACGTTGCTGTCCTATAGTTTCTTAAGGAGCCAAGAGGTTTGTTGTACTTACCCAGGCAGACATGTATCAAATTGAGGAACAAAGATGGGGGCAGCTGCCATAGATGCTTCATCCCCCAAAGCAAGGGTCAGTATCTTCTGAGTTTGGGGGCAGGTGGGGTGGAAATATGGCCCCAAAGACCTGGCAGTAAGCTGTCCTTCAGCCCCGTGCAGCGGGGAGAGGCAGGAGCAGATGTTAAGATGTTAAGTGGATGACGCGTCTTAATTTCCGAGGAATTTAAAGGCGCTCCTTCCTTCCACCTAATTAGACCAATTACTTTGCAAGGAGCTCTGGGACTCATTTCTCTGCAAGAGAGTTTGGAGGAACCAACATCACTCTCTGCTGGGGCTGTTATTGTTGTGCGCTGCACTCACACCGCCCAATAAAACATTTTCCAGATCTGGAAAAGACAAGGTAAAACCGGGGTTTGAAATATCCCTCTCCCTCTTTTTTCTAACCTCGCTTTTCTTTTTTCCAGAAACGGAAGGAAGGACAATTTTTACCTCCCTCGAAAGGCTGATGGAACAAATTCTCAAAAGTAAATCAACTTTGACTTACTGAGTGAGCAGCAACATGTAGCATTCTTATAACCAGGAAATCTTTGCCTGAAAGATGGATGTAAATGTAATGAAGAGAAGCGCTCGTTAATCTAGATAATTATTTTACTACATTTTCAAGACTGACTTTGTATTAGGTTTCTAATACTTGATTGATAAGTCCACCAATTTGACAACCAGTACAGATAACATTTAAAAACAACGGGGCTTTTTGTTTCTCATTTCACTTTATATTTGATAGAAAGAAAACTGTGGTGTTTTTTAAAATATCATTTTGAAGATTCCTGCATTGCAGGGGGTTGGATTAGATGATCCTTGTGGTCCCTGCCAACCCTGCAATTCTAGGTTCCATGAAGCACCTAACATAATGTAATTCATTAAATCAAGGGCTAAACTAAAGCACTCGTCACCCAAATTTGTACCTCTAGCTTGAAAAAAGTACTTCATAAATGATTTAATAGGCCCTATTCTGAGACTGAAAGTGTCAGACTGAGTTCAAAAGGATTGCAGCCCTTAAATAGGGCTCTCCAAATTTGGATTTAAGGGGGGGGGAAGCAATGAGAAATTGACTTGATTTTTTTTTTAAAAAATGAGACTAAATCATTAGAGTTTGCACCAAATAGCACAATTGCTAGGAGTTAGGCTGAATGGAGAAAGCATTGTGCCATTATGAAGAATAAACCTGTCTGCCCAAAGTCCTGAGGCCCTTGGTGCAATAATATTGCTTACACCTGCAACAAAAAAAGTGTATTGCTTTTGTGTTTCATATCAATGCAGGAGAGGACATACGGATTTGGTCCACTTTGCAGTGACGCATCTCGCTAGCAACCAAACCACACAAAGCTGTTCGCCCCGCGGATTGTTCCAAGTCGCTCTCTTGAATGTTGCACCCGCAGCAAGAGGTGTTATAGCACATAGGAAGCATAACAAAATATCACCTCCATACCTGGAGGTGAGCTCTGTTCTGCAACACCTTCCTTGTTAACGCTTCTAACGGATCTAAATAGGACTGAGGATTATGGACAGAAAGTGATACAAAGCTAAAAACACAAGCCGCAAACTCAGCAAACCCCAAAATAAAAGCCAATCCTCATTCATTGTCCGTGTGCTAAAAATTATCCACTGCTTACTACAGTTTAATAATACATTTGAAATTTCTTTAAGACACACTGATTCCCCCCCCTTTCTCATTTGGGGTGTGTGGGTGTGGGTGTGTACTATATTTACTTGTAGTTTACTTCAGGACAGTCCCAAAATACAGACTTTTGAAACAGGAATTGGCAGGTAGGTGAAAAGTTGGCACAAAGCAAATTGACTCTGGCAATGTCCAACTTCCAAGAGACTGAGATCTACTCCGACTATAAAAAAAACTGGCAGTGATCTACAAAAGTTGTTGAGCTTTTTGGGGCAGGTAAAAGTTGTTCAGCATTTTTAGAAAGTCAAAGTTGTTGAGCTTTTTTGTGTCTACCGCGATCTGCCACGGACACCCCACAATCTACCAACAGATCGTGATCTACTGTTGGACACCCCTGCTCTAGTAGTTTCACCTTTCAGCAGCTCTAAATCCATTTCTCCAGCAATTTGAAGCTCTGGTTCCTTGATCCGACTGAGGAATTCTGCACGCAACATCCATGTGCATGGGTTGGGCTAGATCAGTGTTTCTCAACCCGTGGGTCCCAGATGTTGTTGGACTACAACTCCCATCATTCCTAGCCAGCATGACCAGTGGTCAGGGAAGATGGGAGTTGTAGTCCAACAACATTTGGGGACCCACAGGTTGAGAAACCGCTGGGGCTAGATGAATCTGGGGATCCCTCCCAACTCCACAGTTCTATGATTCTATGAATGATACCACAAAATTTCCATGTGAATCGAAGCCTGCTTTCGTATGCTCCCAGATCCCTTTGCTAGAATGGGGTTCCATATCTCAGACTTACAAGAATTATGGATCCCCATCTCTTTTCTTGCAGTATGTGAAAGCACAAACTGAAAATTCCAAAGTGGGTCTACTTTGTCCATCCGTATTTCACATCCCATTATGAAGTGTGCAAATTTAGGGATGCTCTAAAAGCATACTTTCTTTGAAAACATATTCACATTGCAGAAACAGGTAGAGAGGAAGGCTGCAGAAGTTGGAGTCTGTCAAAGGAATTCCAAGCCCCACCCCAACTCTGACACTTTTCAACAGGTTTAGAATTTCTTTTCTTGTTGGGCAAAATGAGGTTTTTTTTAAAAAGGGAGAGTAAAAGCTGGCTGATTTTACTCAGTTATGCCACTATGATAAAAAACCATCTTATTCCAATTAGCTCCAAATAAAACCATGATCCCCTCCAAAAACGCAAAACAAACAACAACCCTCCAATAAAGTATACATTTTTATGATCCAACTGGCAGTAATTGCCAAATAAATATATTCCACAGAACTCAATCTGGCCCGATCTGAGCCTGATAAACAGAAAGTACCCATAGTCAATATTGTGGATTGCCGCGGAAACAAAATCCATTATGCTGAGACTTTGTGACATTCTTTATCTGATCATAACCTAGAAATGCAGAGGCACTTTCTCCCCTCAGGGATGCAAAATGGTCTGTCGTTATGACTGGATTTTAAACTACTTTCACTAGGGGCAAAATCACTTGTAAACAACCGTGGTTTTAGCCCAAGTATACATTTCCCCTACTTTCTAGAAATGAGGACCAAAGATTTTCTCAAGGTGGAACTAGATCGACGCAGGGTTGGAGCCAGACAATCATAGGATTGTAGAGTTGGGAGGGACCATGAGAATCATCTAGTCTAACCCTCTGCAATACTGGAATTTTTTCCCCCCAATGTGGGGTTCAAACCCATAACCCTGAAATTATGAGTTTCATGCTCTATCGCCTGGGCTAGCCCCACTATCATTAAGAGTCCCTCCAGACTGGGTTTGGGGGTTTTTTGAGGATGTATTCTGAGACATGTCATTGATGCAAAAATAACATATTACTGGTGGATTTGCCATACTTTTCCGTGTATTAGACACCCCCATGTATAAGACACCCCCTATTTGGGGGGACTCATATTTAAGAAAATGGGCTCAGAGTTGTTGAACTTTTTGGGGGAGGATTACCCAGGGTTGGTTAGCTTTTTAAAGGGGGGATTGCCAAAAATTGCTCACCTGCACGCGTCAAAAAATCAGTCTCGTGTCTTTCCCATCGCTGGCAGAAACTGCCAAACGTCCGCCCATTTACCACAGCATCAGCCAATCAACACCAGCCATTGACGCAGGAACCAATAAGCCACTGACAGCCACGGCAGCAACCAATCAAACGTCCACCCTATGCACTATCCATGTATAATACCAGGCACCCCCAAACTCGGCCCTCCAGATGTTTTGGAACTACAACTCCCCTCATCCCTAACTAACAGGACCAGTGGTCAGGGATGATGGGAATTGCAGTCTCAAAACATCTGCCAACCTAGCAGTTTGAAAGCATGCCAGTGCAAGTACATAAATAGGTACCTCTGTGGCGGGAAGGTAAATGGCTTTTCCTTGTGCTCTGATTTCCATCACAGTGTTCCGTTGTGCCAGAAACAGTTTAGTCCTGCTGGCCACATGACCTGGAAAACTGTCTGTGGACAAACGCCGGCTCCCTTGGCCTGAAAGTAAGATGAGCACCGCAACCCCATAACCGCTTTTGACTGGACTTAACCATCAAGGGGTCCTTTGACTTTTTACCTTTTACCTTGGCTGTTAGATTTCTTCTAAGGTCCTCAGGAAGGCACTGGCCATTTTGCTCATCTGTAAAGCAACATGTTCATC